ATTTTTGAGCGATTGTCAGTTCACCCGTTTGTGAGCCTTTCTTCCATTTATGCAACGTATGGCTGCAGATAATCTCGGGTTTCATCGAAGACGGTTGCAGAATCTAAACGACATAAAGATCACAATGGGTCGAGAACAAATAATCATCGATAACCATGTAACAATAATACTTTTAATGCACAATAGAAATCGACGTCAACAGTGAAAATCGAGTATGTCAACTGAATTCCGCAATTTGTTTTTTAAATAACATTGAAAAAATACTCGAAATTAAGTTGAAATGACTAAGTTGAATATTTTAAAACTCGGTCAACNGTAATCTCAACTCATTGCAGTTCCACACAGTTCGTGAGGGTACACAGCGACCCTAACATTCCAAATAATGTGATATCAACAACTCTGAAACAGTACCTTAATAGTAGAGCCTTGACTATTTGTGATACAACTCCAAACGAATCGATTGTGTTTGAAAATCATTCGAATACATTGATGAAAACACATTCACGCATCGACACGATTGAACAGCCGTTTGAACCACACGAATATATGAGAATGAGCAACAGATGAAGAAATGCAACTGAAAATAACACTGATTCGCACTAAATGATCTGCAATGATCTACTAATATGACGTTATTGACAGATCATGATGCACAAAGGAATGATCAACATGATTCCAATTCTTTCCATCGTTCTAATACTGATTGACCAAAGCACAGATCAAAGACATTCTATGGCTTTTTAGACGTGGATTTGGTTAGGAGATAATAGCTGTTCTCCTAAATAAACCTAATTTTGCGTATAATTTTGAAACAGTGTCCTAAATCTAACTATAAGTTTCCTCTTATCAGCTGCAAAACACATAGTCTTGAAATCTGTCTTGATACCGTTAACACTCTAATTAATTTCAATTGTACTGATTTGAATATTCATGTTAAGAATGAATTAATTGCCCACAATCTAGAACGATTCATAATAAAAATCATCATTTTGTAGTATTACGTCTTCATTGCGTGGCTGCTTGTTTGGCCAATCGCATTCTTAGGTCGGTTTCCAATTGTTTCATCTAAACAACGACAGAAATGAATGATAAGGTTAGTGGCTGTCACAACGGATCCACTGGAAAGTTTCCGAAATGATAGATCAGGTTGATATTTTATCGAGTTGTTGCCATAGCATTGTTCAGTGCTATGGTCACTTCAGTAAGCTTCAGTTGAGTCAAATACAGCCTATCGGATAATCTTCAATAAAGATAAGATAAGAAACAGTCTTGTTGATTGGCATTGATACCAACTGCTTTATTAGTTCTCGTTGAATTCTCAACCATTTTTTGTTCTTAGCGAAATATTCGAGATTGTAAATCATTGTTCTATGCGTAACATAAGTAATTTTTTTGATGGTCTATTAATGGGATCTCGTTAAAGCAGTCAGTAGTGGCAGATGAACGTCCAATGGAAGACGAAAGCTACACAGCAGTCGAAGCACCAGTACCAGTGAGGAGGACGGTGCGTTATTTAAATCAGATATAACCTTTGCTAGGTTATCATTCGATAGAATGTAGCCGAAAAGAAGCGAAGAATTGTTGCAAAGTTTTATACATCGATTTGTAAGCTGTTTATGTTGCAGCCGATGTGAGCAGTTCGATATTTATTTTCGATATGTCTTTGGATTTTTTTGGTTTGTCGAGGAGTGTTTAAGTTGGTGTTTTAAGAGAGGTTTCAAGGCGAAAGAGGCAGCAATTTATCGACGAAAATGGTTACCACATGATGAGGACGTTCAATCCGGTAGTGAT